TTTATAGTCAAGCAGGTTACTGTGCAGTTCCTGCGTCTTCTTTGGCGGCTGAGCCTTCTCTGGCGGAGGCATTGTGTCCATCCATGAGGCGCGAAGTCGGCGCGAAGGGATTTCGAAATTCGGATTGAATGTTACGAACTCATGAAATAGGGTTTGGGCCTGAATGTTGTCAAGAAGAATTGCACCAAGACGATCCTTGTTTGGAAGCTCTCTGTAGATGGTAGCGTCGCCTATTACACGGGTCTTGAGAAGCGGAACGTTCGGCCTTTGATCAACGCTAGTTATTGACAACCTGTCATCGACGGCTCTTCGTAACGAAGCCGGCTGACTCGACCACCGAATATCGGCGGCAACTTAGCATTTATTTATATTCATTTGAAAGGTCATGGGCTCTTCGTGAGTTGACCTTACAGCGAACGAAGGCATTGCTGCCATTGCTGATGGATCGGTGCCTGTCCGTTGCATGTCCGTAGCATCATCGCCTGACATGGACATCAAAAGCAGGTTCCGCTACCACTAACTGACATGGAAGTGCAATGCAGTGGAATTTCCTTTGAAAGAAGCGGCCCAGCACATAAAGAGTGAGACCAGACAGGGGCTCAGAGAAGCAGGGAAAGGCCCCCTCCTCCGCGGTCAAACTTGGGAGCGTATCAGTTCTGATAGCGCCCGTTTTTTTGAACATTTTGCTTCACATCACGCTGCGCGCCCCCCAGCTGTGTTAAGGCCATGTGATTAGATGCAGCTAGCCTTGATCACCAACCCCCCACTCAAGTTGGTCTTGACGAGGCTTTGCTCAAGACTTGCAATGTCAGCCATGAAGAACGCCAGGGGGTTTTGTTCTTTGTTCAGGTGAACTTATGAAAAGCAGCTTGCATAAACAATGCGGTGCAAAGTGGTGAGAAGCATGGGCAAGCGAGTTCTGTGCAACAGGCGTAGCACGTCGCGCATGCTGCGAATATGTGAAGGGTCAATATGCACCGTTTGCAACCGGTTCTTTATCAAACGACCGTGCGGCGATAACACGTGGGTATGAAGGAAGCGCTCTTGCTGGCCCACTTCTGCTTAAACGTTTTGAATTCCCAGATGTCGGGCTGTTTTGAACCATTTATTTATCATTTGACTGGTTTCCCTTCTCGCATGTTAGCGAACAAGAACACGCGTTGACTGTGTTTTTGTTGGAGCCGGGGCCTCTGTCTACAAATTTAACGAGCGCCGGTTGTCAAATACAGTTTTTTGATGTACAAATGTTTCTTGATAGTTTTTGGTTTGGTGGCTGTTCGTAAAATAGCAATAGCAATCAATGACGAAAGCTAGCTGTAGCTAGCTGGAGTCTGTCTTGCTTTAGCAAGGAGGGTGGGAACCCAGGACCTGAGTGCTAACGTGCTAACGCCTGATATATCAGGGTTAGACCCCCCCCCCTCCCCTCCCCTCCCCTCCCCTCCCCTCTCCTCTCCTCTCCTCCCCTCTCCTCCTCCCCTTCCCCCCGCGCGGGTTGAACTCCACCCTTCACCCCCGGACCGGTTCTCAGTTCCCAACGTGCTGTTGCTGTTCTTTGTCGCTGCTGCTGCTGCTCCTGTTTGTATGTTTCTTAGTTGCTGCTCTTTTGCTGCTGTTGCTTGGTGGTTTGCTACTACTGCTGCTGCTTGGTAGCTGCTGCTTGGTGGTTTGCTGCTGCTGCTGCTCCTGCTGCTGCTGCTGCTACTGCTGCTGCTTGGTAGTTGCTCCTGCTGCTGCTGCTGCTGCTTGGTAGCTGCTGCTTCTGCTTGGTAGCTGCTGCTGCTTGGTAGCTTGGTAGTTGCTGCTGCTTGGTAGCTTGGTAGCTGCTGCTGCTTGGTAGCTTCGTAGCTGCTGCTGCTTGGTAGCTTGGTAGCTAGCTTGGTAGCTGCTGCTGCTGCTAGCTGCCTGCTGCTGCTTGCTTGCTGCTGGCTGCCTGCTGCTGCTGCTTGCTTGCTGCTGGCTGCTTGCTGCTGCTGGCTGCTTGCTGCTGGCTGCTGCTTGGTTGCTGCTGCTGCTGCTGCTGCTGGCTGCTTGCTGCTGGCTGCTGCTTGGTAGCTGCTGCTTGGTAGCTGGTGCTGCTGCTGCTGCTTGGTACTGTACTTGCTGCTTCTGCTTGGTACTGTACCTGCTGCTTCTGCTTGGTACTGTACCTGCTGCTTCTGCTTGGTACTGTACCTGCTGCTGCTGGCTGCTGCTGCTGCTGGTGGCTGCTGGCTGGTGGCTGCTGGCTGCTGCTGCTGCTGCTGGCTGCTGCTGGCTGCTTGCTGCTGCTTGCTGCTGGCTGCTAGCTGCTGCTGGCTGCTTGCTGCTGCTTGGTAGCTGCTGCTGCTGTAGCTGCTGCCGCTGCTGCTGCTGCTACTGCTTGGTAGCTGCTGCTTGGTAGCTGCTCCTGCTGCTGCTTGGTAGCTGCTGCTGCTGTAGCTGCTGCTACTGCTTGGTGGCTGCTGCTGCTGCTTGGTGGCTGCTGCTGCTGCTGCTTGGTGGCGGCTGCTGCTGCTGCTGCTTGGTAGTTGCTCCTGCTGCTGCTGGTGCTGCCGCTGCTGCTTGGTAGCTGCTGCTTCTGCAGCTGCTGCTTTTGCTGCTGCTGCTGCTGCTGCTGCTTTTGCTTGGTACTGTACCTGCTGCTGCTGCTTGCTGCTGCTGGCTGCTTGCTGCTTGCTGCCTGCTGCTGCTGCTGGCTGCTTGCTGCTGCTTGCTGGTGGCTGCTTGCAGCTGCTTGCTGCTGGCTGCTGCTGCTGCTGCTGCTGCTGCTGCTCCTGCTGCTGTTGGAGCTGCTTGGTAGCTGCTCCTGCTGCTGCTGCTGCTTGGTAGCTGCTGCGGCTGCTTGGTAGCTGCTCCTGCTGCTGCTTGGTAGCTGCTCCTGCTGCTGCTTGGTAGCTGCTGCTGGTGCTGCTTGGTAGCTGCTGCGGCTGCTTGGTGGCTGCTGCTGCTGGTGCTGCAGCTGCTGCTGCTTGGTAGCTGCTGCTGCTGCTGCTGCTGCTGCTTGGTAGCTGCTGCTTGGTAGCTGCTGCTGCTGCTGCTGCTGCTTGGTAGCTGCTGCTTCTGCTGCTGCTGCTTGCTAGCTGCTGCTGCTTCTGCTTGGTACTGTACCTGCTGCTGCTGCCGGGTACCTGCTGCTTGCTTGCTGCTGTCTGCTTGCTGCTGCTGCTGCTGCTGCTGCTGCTTGGTAGCTGCTCCTGCTGCTGCTGCTGCTGCTGCTGCTTGGTAGCTGCTCCTGCTGCTGCTGCCGGGTACCTGCTGCTTGCTGCTGCTGGCTGCTTGCTGCTGCTTGCTGCTGGCTGCTTGCTGCTGCTTGGTAGCTGCTGCTGCTGCTGCTGCTTGGTGGCAGCTGCTGCTGCTGCTGCTGCTTGGTAGCTGTTGCTGCTGCTGCTGCTGCTTGGTAGCTGCTGCAGGTGCTGCTGCTGCTGCTGCTTGCTAGCTGCTGTTGATGCTGCTGCTGCTTGGTAGCTGCTTCTGCTGCTGCTGCTGCTTCTGCTGCTGCTGCTTGGTAGCTGCTGCTGCTGCTGCTGCTGCCGTTGCTGGGGTGGTTGTGTGTTGCCATGTGTTGGCTGTGTTGGGGTCGTATTGGGGGGGCGCTGTTGGCACTCTCCTTTCCCTTGGCCATGCCATGTTGCGATTCCCGGCCAGGCTTTCCCTGCCAAAGAGCCCCAGCGTTGTTTCTTTGCCTAGCTTTCGCCACCCCGCTCTGGGCCACAAGTTCTGTAACTCTGCTTCTCATGTACGCACAGAAAAGTTAAAAACCTTGTACGTGTATGGAACTGACAACTGACGAGCAGGGAAGGAAGAGACACGAAGGTGCAAATATTTGCCCACAAAGAGTGTGTCCGAGTCCATGCTGTAAGCGGTGCACAGTTTCATGATTCTGGCAAAGAACTAGTGTTGTTTACAAATATTTCAGTTTGTAAGCAGGGTTTTTGATATACAATTATTGTTTGACAGTTTTTGGCTTAGTGGCTGTCGATTATACAGCCATTAGTTCTGTAGTTTTGTGCTTCATGTATGTACATAAAGCCTTGTACTTGTACGTGTTTGGAACCGACAAGTCTGTGACAAGCAGGGAAGGAAGAGACACGAAGGAACAAACATTTGTTCACGAAGAGTTTTTGTCTACGCTGTGAACTTGCGTGATTTGATGGTGGTGCACAGTTTCATGATTCTGGCACTGAATCAGGGAAGACCTAGGAACTTGTAATGCAAAGGAGCGGGGGCGCCAAAAACGCATGTTCATAAAGTCATGACGAGTGAAATGTAGTCTTGGTGACTTTGGTTTTTAGACTCTTGAAGGCTGGCCCAAGTTGCTGAAATTTGCGAAGCTGCAGTGAAAAAGACAATAAGTGTTTTCCGTTTCAAGTGTTAACCGAGAATAGGTGTTTGTGACGGTGAATTTGGTAAAAAAGTGTTACTTTTTCATTTGCCAAGTCTTCATCAGGTTTTCATCAGGGTTCGGTTACAGCTAACATACCCAAATTTGAAAGTAAGTGTTTTCAATAGTTACCTTTTGAGTCTGAACAGTTCTCAAGACAATCTTTGAAAGCCAAATTGTGTTTTGCAAGTGTACGGTAAGCTGGGTCATTTTCGGGCGATGAAGCCCTTGGCTTCCAATAAAAAAATCTAAAGCAGCAAGAGTGTGAAACAATGTACTGAAACACCATTTTAAACAAAGAACTTCTACACATTTGAACCATACACTTGTCCGCAGTTGTAAGGGGAACGGTGAGGACCCTTTGATGGCCGACAAGAACTCAATTGAAATCCATCAGTAGTTTGTTTGGTCATGTCCCAGGAGCAAACTTTGGAAGCTAACGCTCTTCAGGGAGCTTTTGCCTGAACAATACTCAATCAAGCACGGAGGGTTCCAGTTTTTTGTTCAATTCTGGGAGTGCAACATGCAACACATGTCATGTGTCATGCGCAAGATATGTGTTTGTTCGAGTTTATTCACGTTTATTTATACTGCATCTCACCTACGTACAGCAACTGACTCCATGACCAATGACCCTAAGGTTTGAGCCGGCCAAGTAGTCGGGCAGATGAAGCGCGGTTATCTGGTGCTGGTCGCTTTGTCCTTGGCGATGTGAAGATGGGCGCAGATGGGATGAAGTACAAAGACACGGTTTACGAGAAGAACGGTGACTCTCGATGTGTTCCCTGGAGCGTGCTTTTGGACATGGAGAAATCCAACGGCACCAAGTTCAGGGAGAAATGTGAAAGCGAGAAGACTGGCCCGATGAATGAGAAGCTAAGGAAGGTTGAAAGCCCGGGATGGCTTTGTGAAGTGAACCGTGCTCTTGGATCAGTTCAGTCAGGTGAATCCGATGCCCTGCAGCAATGGTACTCACGCTGGCAACAGCAGTCTCACCAGCGAAGTTCCCAAGTCAAGACCACATCAGTATCTTCAGCATTCCAATTGAAATCTTCCCGCTTGATGCTCAGGGATCAGGATCACACCGATTATATACTGCTTTTGATTTTTTTAGACGGATGCTGCAATTGTTACGTTCCAATTGACATCAGATTCAACACATGTGGTTTGAGATGTCCAGGTGTTAAAGGCCTCGATGCTCCAAAGCAAGAGTGGTGCAGACTAAGCCCTAAATCCAAACGTGCAATTCAGCAATGGGTCACAGGACTGCACTGCTTGTGCTCGTAAGAAATCCATGCTAAACCCATCCAAGTGAACTGTCGCAATCCTGAGAAGGAGACATTGGGGGGCGGCATTGCCTTATGCTTCTCGAGCATGATGCAGCAATAGACTTTTTCATATCCCCATTGGACCACCAGGACAGGGAGTAGAGCTCAAGTAAGAACCAGCATCAACGTCACTCTATCAGGATGAAGCGCTGTTACACGGACAGTACGAGGGCGGCTCTGTGATTTCACAGACGGGAAGTTGTGGCAGGAGATGTCGGCCTCCGATGTTGGCTCGGGTGGTGCTCTTTGCGCACTTTCAGGGCTTCCTCTCGAAGCTCAGGGGAGCCAAGAAGGTGGTTGGCTCTACAGAGAGGTGCGCACTTCTGGCCTTTGAGTTTTGCTTGTGTCCGCCTGCCGGGGCTGAGCGTAGCCCAATAGCTTCGCCTATGGCTCGCAATGGGGTTCATTCTGCGGCCAAAGCTGTGGCCAAAAAACAAAAATAGAAATCAAACAAGCCAAATGTGCTTCGGTGCTTTACGTGTTTGCATTGTTCGTTGTGTTTGTACCTTTCGACTTGTTTGACTGTTTAATTATGTTCACCCGTTTCGCTTTTTCCGACCTTTGCTGCTTTGTTTTACGGTTCGACTTTTGGATCCAGATGCCAGGTGCTTTCGAGTTGTCGATAGAATGCAAAGTGACTGACTTGCAGTCTTTGATTTGGTCACTCCTACCTGCTTTACTAAACAGAGATAATTATGATTTTGCCCCAAACGTCAGACCATCATCCCACATGCAAACCAGGATTCAAAGGAGATGATAGCCTGTACATATTCGAGATTTTTAGATCCGCAGAATTGTCAAACCACTCAGGACATCATGGAGACCATAGTTAGTTGGGCCAAAGTGTTTTACCCGGACCGAACCATGTCAATTCAACCAGCCACCAACGGAGGTGTAGAGCACCCTTTGGGAGTCTGAAATTGACTTGCAGGTGACTAGAGCTTTCTTTCTCACAAGGACAGAGATGAAAGGGCCTGCCAAAGTGTTCAGCTTATTTTGTAGTGTTTTATGTGTTTTCATGTGTGTTCATTAAAACCTTTTACTGTATATATGTGGAGTCCCCTCCCAACCCGTCCTCAAAGCATGCACAGTTAAATCCTCCTGCCACGTAAGGTTTTGCAATGCAAATTCCTTTGCAACTCAGCACTTGTAATGCAAAATTATCCCGCCACTCAAGACTTGTTATGCAAACTCCCCGACCTGCAATACAAACTCCTTTCAGCCCTTAGTTTGTGCAAGTACTGAGAGACATCAATTCACCAAACAAATGCATTTTGCTACTTCATCATGCACACAATATGGCATCTGGAGGCACCTGCGTCCTACATCTGATATCAGCCAATCGAAGGACCATCGGTCTATCGTCTTCAAAGCGCGTGGTTTTCCCAAAAAACTGAGAGTGGAGACTATGGAGACAGACCTGGATAGAGTATCGGATAGAGAGCAGATCGTTTTTGCAATTGTTTTACGAAAGCCAGCCTTCGTAGAAGGCGCCAGCGGAGTTGTGTTTGGCGAACGAAGTGAGTAGTTAGGGGGTTTGGGGGGGGTGGCCCGCAAAAGGTGCACGTAAACTCGGCACATGCTGGGGGAGGAGGGTGCGTCGAGGGAAGGTTTTTTGAGGTTGTGTTGGAGGTGATTTTTGAGGGGTGGTGATGCAAGAAATGCAATTTGCATCATCTGAATGGAAAGGTGTAGTTGGCACCTTGGCAGGTATAGAGACCCAGGGTAGCTATAGTGCAGCTACCAGGTATAGTACTTCAGGTTCCCTTTCCGTCAACCGCTCGATAACCTCTACACACGCACAGCAATCCACAGCTTTGAAGCCTCATGCGCGCGATACCTGCAAACAGAATTGTAGCTACCGTGGGTCCGTATGAATGCTATGTTGCTATACCTCTTACACACCTACCAGTTCAAAGCACGAATGAGACTTCATAGCTGTGGTTTGCTGTGCATGTGTGGCTCGAGAAAGATATACGTAAACCCTGGAAGGTGATGCTTTGATGCTTTTGGAGCGGGCGGTGACGCACTCGCCAACTATACCCTTCAATAGGAACTCGAACAGCTCAAATCCAGAAGGTTCTGAAAATGGCCTGGCTCCCTATATGAACC